AATCTTCCAAGTCGTCTCTTCGGACGTGGCCGGGCCTCGCGGCGTTCACCAGAGCACGCTTTGGTGCTGTTGTCTCAGAGAGTTAGTCCAGCCCTTTTGCTTCAAGCTAAACGGTTGCGGGTGGCCATCAGCGCCGTGCCCGTCCTCCTTGCGAGCCCAGGCAGGGGTCGTGACCCTCGCCCGGCGGGACAGGGCTGCCCATCCGCCCAGCGGCGACCACTGCCCCGCCTCGGGAGCCGTCGGAGCACGGAGGCCTAGACAGGGCTGGAGCAGGAGCCAGCGGCCAGGGCAGATCGCTCTGGGGTCATAGGTCACCCCCCCCCCCACACACACACCTAGGTGATGCCCACGCCCGCCCGTGCCCGCATCGCAGCTCCCTGCTACACACCTCCCAGCCAGGACCACCCCGACATCATCCCGAGTGTCTGCTAAGTCAGCCCCCAGAGGCCAGCTCTGGCCTGTCCCCGTGAAGGCCCTCTGGATGCCAGAGGTTCAAAGGTTATTGGAAGACGCAGTGATTATTTGAGGAGTGAATTAATGAAAACATCCAGTTTATCTGCTTGACTTTAGTCTGTAGGCACCCGAGGGTGAGGCTCTTGCAAGGCTTGTTCGGTGATTTCCTCCCTGTACCTGCCTAATAATTACAGATGCCATGCGTGAGTGAGTGACTAAGAAGTGAGGGCGGGGGCGGATGGCGTGTCGTTCTATTCAGAGATGCTCCCCGCTAAGGTGGACCAACTGCTTGGCTTGGGTTTCAGGTATAGCTTCCCACCTCTGCTCATCCCTTTTCCCCATCCTGTGTCTCCCGACTGAACAATTTCTTATTCGAAATGACAGTTGGAGGAAAATTTCGGCACTTTAGGAGCCACTTAGAACTACTGTTTCATTTTTATCCCCAGTTTTGTTCAATTGTTAAAAAACAAAAGTCAGGTTCATTTAGGAGAGTGGATAATTCTTTTTTTTTTAAATAGCCAAAGCCATTTATATTTTAGAAAAATAGAAAAAGTACATTAGATGGGAAGGAAATAATATGGTTGGTAGCTGCTAAGTGCAATTTGTGGTACTTGGTTTTTTTTTTTTTTTCTTTAATATTCAGTACTTTGAGTGGTCTCTTGGGGAGGTAATGCTTTAAGGG